CCCCCCCCGACTTCTCTCTCTGCCCCAGAATCACAGCTCGCTCTGGGAGAAGGAAATCGGACCCCTGAGCACCTGGAGGGAGGCCTCGAGCACAGAGCATCCTGGCAGACCTCGTAGCGCCAGCGCAGCCCGCCCCTTCCCAGGTGCTTGATCGCTCACTAGCTTCCCGCCAGGCCCGCCGACTGGCGCAGCGACCAAACTCGACCTTCCCTGCAAAAAGCCTGCAAAAGGGGCCCCGCATCTCGGCCCAGCCCGCGGCGCAGGCCAACCCGCGGGAAATCGCTGACCTCGGGAAGCCACCCCCGTGCGGATGGCAAAGGATGGACTTACCATGGCACAGCTCAGCCAAACGCCAGCACCACGATGTCGGAGAAAGAGAGAGGAGGAAGCGGAAGGACGTATTTACTGGCGCTGCCGGGGTGTGGCTTTGGGGACTGACGCGAAGCACTCACCGCGTCCTCCCCCAGGCTCCACCCCTCACGCGCTCCCATGGAGCTGTGGGAATCCGGGCTCGTTCCTGAGAAATGGAATTCGCTTTGCGCATCTTCTGTAGGTGGATTCCTTGGAGCCCGTCAGTGTGCCAGGGGCACCTGCTTCGTGGGTGAGGACGACCGCCATTTAAACGCCAAAGCAGAAGCCCTTCCGGAGGTGGAGGGAGGAAGCGGAGGGAGCGCAGTGGGCGGGTCTAACTCCAAGCGGAGGGGGAGGGACGTCGTGTGAGCGCGAAGGATTTGCGCGTGCGCGAAAGATTTTGCGCCTGCGCGTGCGCCTGCGCGTGCGCCGGGAACGCCTTTTCTGCGCAGCTTGAAGTATGGTTTGACCGTGGAACAATAGGGTTTGGAGCTGCGTGTGCTCATTTACACGCGGGTTGTTTTTTTTTCTTCAAACAACATACAGCCGGCCCTCTGTATCCCAGGTTCCACTTCCGTAGGTTCAACTGACACAGTATTTTCGGTCCGCGGTTTGGAATCGTGGGTTGCGGATGTGGAGGGCCAGCCGTATGCATTGGTCTGGGACTGGATGCATTGTTCTACGCCATTTTATATAAGGGACTTGAGCATCTGTGGGTTTTGGTATGGGGCCAGGGGTCCTAGAACCAATCCCCTGGCGGATACCAAAGGAGGACTGACTGACTGGGGAGTCAAAAGTTATACGTGGATATTTGACTGCGTTGGGGTCGGCCTAACACTGCCCCACCCCCGTGTTGTTGGTCGACCGTAGCAATCTGCTGGCTCGGCAGTGTGGGACTGGAAGGAACAGTGCTATTGGAGGAAGCAGGACAGCTGGCAGGGGCGGGACCAGGTGTGCTCTGTAAGCCTACCAACAGCCCTAGAGCTGTCTGAGTAACAGGTTGTTAATCAAGGTTTTAAGCTGAGGAAGTTCTGTATAGAACCTTTCCCTTGGCTGCTAGGAAGCCCAGACTTACTTTGTAGTCTACCTTTGGCAAAATGTAGAGGAATTAATGGCAACGTTTTGGATGTTAATGTTTTCATTGTCATCTTTTTCTTCCCATTGAAAAACAAAGAAGTCTAGCCCTAGCTGGTTTGGCTCAGTGATTAGACCCTGAGCCTGTGGACTAAAGGGTCCTGGTTAGACTGTGGTCAAGCGCACCTACCTCAGTTGCAGGCTCAATCCTGACCCTGGTCTGTGCTCGTGAGGGAGGCAACCAATTGATGTGTCTCTCTCACATCGTGTTTCTGTCTCTCCCTTCCACTCTCTCTGAAAAGCAATGAAAAAAATATCTTTGGGTGAGGATTAAAAAAATAAAATAAAAACTAAAGAAAGTCTAGCCCTAGTTCTGGCCAGCTCAGTTGCTTCGAGTATTATCCCGATATGGCAAGGTTGCCTGGTCCATCCCTGGTCAGGGCACATATGTGAATAAACCAAAGAATACATAAATAAATGGAACAACAAATCGATGTTTCTTTCAAAATCTATAAATTAAATTAATTTTTGTTCTTAACTCATAGTGCTGTGGTTAGGATTCAGTCACTGGTAAGCCATGAGTTAATATATACCCGCCACCAAGCTCAGTAAACCTCAGCCTTCTTTTCATTCCTTGTATTATAGCAGGGCAGATAGTGCAAGGACCCATTAAAAAAAGGTGCAAATAAACTATTACAAGAATGTTGAAGGGGTGATGATTGACAGTTAAGGGGAGGAGGTAATATTTGAATTCAGCCTTACAAGGTGAGTGGTGGTGTTATGGGCTGAATTGTGTTTCCCTAAAATTCATATGTTGAAGCCCCAACCCCCAGTACCTCAGAATGTGCCCTTATTTTGGAGGTAGTGTGTTTACTGAGGTGATTAAGTTGAGGCTTGTTAGTGTGGGCCCTACTTGAATCTGACTGGGGTCCTTACCAGAAGAGATTAGGACATACAAGCAGATACCAGGGATACATGTAAATGGGGAAAAACCATGTGAGGACACGAGGAGAAGGTGGTCAGCCATCTGCAAGTGAAGGAGAGAGGCCTTAGGAGAAACCAAACCTGCAGATCCTTTGATCTTGGGCTTCCAGCTTCCAGAACTGTGAGAAGTTTCTGTGTGTAAGAACAGAAACTGTGTACCCCCCAGTCTGTGGTGTTGTTATGGCAGCTCTAGCAGACTAATACAGGTGGGGAGATTAAGGGAAGGGTATTCTAGCTAAAAGGAACAGCCTGCTACTGATCACAAGAGTCTATGTGCAGTACATTCTAATTGGCTGGCTCCAAGGCAGGCCAGTTTCAGCAACTGGAATTCAACAGACCTGGGTCTCACCGGGTCAGAAAGGACAAGGGCTGTGAAGAGGGTCCAGGATTTGACATAAGGTGCTTCTTGGTGCCCAGAAAAGTTGGGCAGTATATGTGGGAGGTGGGGAAAGTGGCAAGAAGGAGAAATAGTGAGTGGTGAGGTGGGGCAGGGCTTGAAGGAGGATGTTTTTAGGACGTTTGGGTGTGAAGGGAAGGAGACAAAAGGAGAGCAATGACAGAGGGTGGTGAGCTGAAGAGTTGGTAGTTTTTGGTAGGTCAGGAGAAGATGGGCAGAAGAGAGAATGAAGATGTAAGATAACCTTGATATAATGGATAGTGTGGGGGTCTTGGAGGACAGGGGGGAGGTGGCTGAAGAGCATCAGGAGAGGAGTTTGCCTTGAAAAGGAGAACAGTCACTTCCCTCACTGGGAGGGGAAGGAGAAGGGATGAAGAGAGACTTTTTTCATGTGAATTTAATTTTGTTGTTTTAATTATGTAAATATTTTACATGGTCCATTTACATCCTATATGACCCTGCATTTCCTCTCCTAGGTGTTTCCCCAACAAAAAGGTGAACGAATGTGCATCCAAAGGTATGTACTGAATTGCTGTAGCAGAATTATCTCTAATAGCCCCAAACTGGAAACTGTCCTAATCTATCACCAGGTGAATGGATAAATTGTGGTATGTTTACCAAGGGCTGATACACAGCAGCAGTTCTCAAAGTGTGATCCAGGGAACTCTGGCTGGATCAATTTGCTTCTTTCACTTTCATCCTCTCATAGGTATACTGTGGAGTTCTCAAAAGGCTTGTAATGATTGTTGCTCTGACAGACAATAGAATGTGTGCTTGTGCATTCTTGGGTTTTAAATATTTCTCGGTTTTAATTTCTAATACCATACATTTCAATAGATGTAATCCACACAAACAAAGGCCCTTTGAGGTCCTCAATAATTTTGAAGTTTAAAGGGGTCTTAAGAATAAAATGTTTGCAAACTACTGTACAGCAATGAAAATGAACAAATTATAACTGCCCACAATGGCATAGATGGACCTCATAGACATTCACAAAAATGTGGCACAAAGGAAGCCAGACACAAAAGAATGCATACTGTATGAGTCTATTTACGTAAAGACTAAAACCAGGCAAAACGAATCTGTGCCATTAGAAGTCAGGATAGTCGTTATCCTTGTGGGGAGCAGGCTCTGGTCATATTCTGTTTCTTGACCTGGGTGCTGGGTCAATGAGTGGACTCCCTTTGTGAAAATGCATCTAATTGCTCACTTCAGGTTTGTGCACTTTTCTGTATGGGTGTTATATTTCAGTATAAAGTTAAAAACACATTTATATGGGTCTACATACAAAACCAGAGATGAAACATTTACAGAGATCTTGCTGCTATCCCAGTCTCTGCCCCTGCTCTCCCTCCCTCATAGGCTATTTTTCCCCATAGATAATTTTTATTAGTCGCTGATTTCTCCTTCCGTTGTTTCTTTTTGGAAAATATCTAAATCTTTTCATTTTCATTTAATTTCAAATCTTCATATATTTGTTAGAATAGCCCCCCTTCCTACAACAGAAGTAGTGTGTTATATATGGAAGAGAACTTTTGAGGAGGCTGAGAAGCCTTCTGCAGAGAGTAAAGGCATTTGGAGAAAGAGGAAAGGATTGGGATAGATATGTGCATTCACTTGAGAAGGTAAGTACCCTTACTATGCGCAGTATTGGGATACATTGAGCGGTAGATGGTTGGGGGGGGAGGTCCTCAGAGAAGGGGCTGCTTGGGGGAAATCTTGACAGAGGAATAGGAGAAAGCAGAGAAGGAGAGTGAGAGGTGGCTTTCCGGGAAGAGGGAACTATGTTTGCAAAAGTGTTGAGGCCGAGAGCACATATCCACGGCCTCCCAGAGTAGGCCCAGGAGTCTGAACTTTATCCTGGAAGCGAACAATTGGAAACTTCTTTAGCAGAACAATTTTTTATTTTAAAGCCATCTTAGATACCCACCCTTGACTCTTTTTCTCTTACACGCCTATTTCAATCTTATACCCTGTAGCAACGATTTTCAGCCTTTTTCATCTCATGGCACACATAAACTAATTACTAAAATTCTGCAGCACACCAAAAAAATTTTTTTTTGCTGATCTGACAAAAAATAGGTATAATTTTGATTCATTCACACCAGATGGTTATTGTTGTGTTGGTTGTTGCCATTTTTTTTTATTTGACAATCTAAGGGAAAAGGGGTCAGTGCCCCTGACTAAATAGTCAGGTGTTGCATGTTTTAAAAATTCTTGTGGTTCACCGGTTGAGAATCACTGCCCTAGAGCAAATCCTGTTGCACTCTCTTCAAAATATAACTAGATTCCAAATGCTCCTCATTGCCCCCACCCTGCCTCAAGACTCCACCATCTGTCTCTTAGATTATTACAAAACCTCCTAACTCTTCTCCCTTCTTTTGACTTCCCCCACACAGTCTCTTCTAAACACAGCAGCCAGAATGATCCTGTTAAAACCAGTCCAATTGTGTCGCTTGATCATTATCCGAGTCCCTACAGTGACCTACAAAGTGCAAACACCATCAGACTCTTACACACACACACACACACACACACACCCGCCTCTGTGACCTCA